TATATATATATATGTGTATATGTAAACAGGAACATGTTCTGTTTGTTCAGCTGAATCACTTTGATGTAAAATGTATTTTTTTATCTTTTTCAGAAGTGTGCGGGTTTTTTTTACATAAAACAACAATTTCAGCTAAATGGTATCTCTGATTAATGTTACATTTTGTATAAATCTTACACTGTGCTCTGTTCTACCAAAATAACTTCATGAACGTTAGAGGGTTAAAAAATCACAAATGTCATCCTTAGGGATAGATATATATATATATAGATGGCACCATAGTTTAAGCTGATCAGTGAATATCAAGACTGAAGACCTAAGACTTGCTGTCCTGGGGCTGAAGAGGTTAGTTTCTTAGGGTTGTGAGTGAGAAGCTATTCTTTTTAAAAGTCTGTCTTCACCTCTAAGAAAAAGTAAAGGGTTTTTATTTTGTTCAATTACACTTAGTTATTTCATCTTAAGAAAAATAACCTGTGGTTTGTGTTAGGTTCAAAAATGTAAATTCGTAAAAGAGAAACTGAGTCCACACAGGAATGAGATTCAACAGCTCCTGCAGGAGAGGAAAGAGCCCAACCCAACTTTTCAACTCTTTCTCCGACCCCCCTCCTGCAGTCCCCTTTTATTAACAGAACATAACCAATGGTTACAAAACAGAGTATTGTTCTGACAGGACAATTGATCAGGTCATAAGACAGGATGCTCCACTAACTGAATCACAAGACCGAGCGGCCTTCTGATTGAATCATAAGACAGAGTGAAGCATCTCATTTTTTAATGTTCTATATGTACATACATTAATTTTATAATCATTATTGAATAAAGCTAACAGTTTGTTCTTTAATTTGGGTTAGACTGCCTCTAGCAGCATTTATAGGCCTAGAACGGTCTAATTGGTTTGATTTTTTTATTTGCGGACATGCTGCCGCCCAACCAGAAGGACTTTACAAGAACTCTATCAAAGGGTTATAATACTCGGTGGATTCAAAGTCTGCGAACCTGGGTTGGTTTCAGAGACAGAGCCCAAGCAGCATTGGGTAGTGAGAGGGGCTAGATTTTTGCGCAATCACACAAGTGATCTTTGACCTAACTTGCATCTATCATAGAAATTGACTGAAAACTTCGACCTCATTTCGGCACGTGTCTGATCCAGAATGTTCTTCAATATCAAAAGTGATATTGGTATCGGATCGGTTCATCTCTACACATACTAAAAGTTTGTTGTGACCAGAAAGTCATTTTTCTAAGGGAAACCCAGACCACTTAAATCACACTTTTAATTCAATGATGTGGTTCCCCAGGTTTAATTTATGAAAGACTCTCCGACCCACCAAGGTCAAGGTTGCTAGATTAAAGTAAGATCTTTTTGCATTTCTAGGCATGCAAAGGCCAGAGCGTGATGGGAGTTTTCTTCTAGACGGCCTAGTGTGATCATACTTAAGTCTTTTAACCTTTTACAGAAGTGAATCTGTCACCATTTTATTATTAAATCTAACCTGTAAAAATTTAATTAAAGTGAGAAATGAGAAGATTCCTATAAGTGGGAAGTAATTTTGGATTTTTCACAAATTGATAATATTGGTTACAAGACTATTAAGATGCTTGTTGAAATGATTTTCCTAAAAGGAAGGTAAATAAAATCTGTTTTTGCACTTATTTAATGCTGTGTTGGGGGTTTGAGCTGAAACCTAACAACACAGTAATTAGAAAAGTTGGGATAGTGACCTTTTAATGAAATTAAAATTGTATTTCCTTCAGCTCCAGCCTGCCCTTTAAAATATTAGGTGATCTAATATGGCTTATTGTAAAAATGAGTTTGACACACCTGATCTAGGGAGTCTAAGCTTAATGATCAATATTCATACTGTTGTACCTGCAGCATTTACTATTTTCTTAGAATATATTTTCGAAGGATGGATTGTCAGCATCATTTTGTTATCATTGTCTACAGAGAAGGAACATTGTGTGCAAAAGGCACATAGAAGGAAGTGGAGGATTCTACTTCTTCTGTAAATACTTTTTTCTTTAAATAGGTAATATAGGAATTAAGAAATGAAGAGTACTTTTTAGAGATTAAATAATATTTCATTTCCAATCTACAATGGGAGGAAGGGGACTTGGACAAGACCAGGAAATGAAATCTGTGAAAGAGTTCAGGAATAATCTAAAAATTCAATCAGACATTTTTTTTATCCCTGTCTGAGATTCAAAATTTTTGATTCTGAAGGTTATCTGTTGATAGGTCACAATGCTGCAACAGTAATCTGTATAACAGTATAGTATTTGACCATTTAGGGTTACATCTTTATGTTAATTTTTTGTTGTCTGTGTGTGTTTTGAGGGCTTTTATGATCAGGAGGGGCTTATTCCTTCAAGGGAACATTTGAGCTTCAGGTTGTCCAGAGGCATCAAACATCAGCTGGCCACGTGGACATATTGCCATGGACTTCCCTCATTACTGAGGGTAATCATCTGGGACTGTGGTAATGGTTGAGTTTGTGAACAGGACAATGCTGCAGCTCACATTGATTGCCTGACAAATGACTTTTAGACAACATGTCTATTGGCTTATGCTGAATCGCCCTGAATATTCCAACATTTGGGTTTGGTTGGCAAAGGAATAAAAATAAAAAAGATTTTAGTTTCAAAACATGGAAACCCTCTGTGAACCCCCGTTTAACACTTGGAGCAACATTCCCTTTGCCCTCCTGGAAAAGCTATTATCAGGCATAACAAAATAACCTTTGGAAGTGATTAAAAGGTAGAAGTAGAGTAGAAAATCCCTTTATTGTCCCACAATGGGGAAATTCTGGTATTTACAGCAGCAAAAAGATTATAGATAAAACGGACGCACAAATGTGGACTTAAAAAAATTGTATAAGAATAAACATAATTGTGAAGAGTTCAAAAATAAACAATATACTGTACTGTAAAGTGTTTTAACAATATAAATACTGTGCACTATACAGTGCACAGTATTTATGCAATATACAGCTATGGAAATTCTTACAGTAAAGGATATGTGAAGAGAATGGTTTAGCTACTCAGTATTGAGTCCTTTTCAAAATTTACTATAGATAGATAGATAAATAGATAGATAGAAAATTATGCTGTGTGTAAAATCCTAATCAATTGAGGACCTAATCAAATGTAAAGTTTCCATCCATATATTGTGGTTGATATGGTGAGGAACATGTAAGTTTTCGTTTATATGGTTAATATGTGTGCTAAATTTGAACTAATTCTGTTAAGATGATTATTTCTACTATGTGGCTTCAAATTTATATTGAAATAAGCAAATAAATGTTTATTTCTATTTTATTTATTTGGAATATCCATGGGAATGACTCCCCTCCTGAGGGCTTGAAGTTGTTTTTTAAATTCATTCATCCATTTTGGATCTCCATGATTATGAGAGGAACTACCGACTTGCATCACCTTCAGGATGGCTTTTAGATCTCACCCGTGAAGGTAAAGACATTTTGTAAATCAGTTTGTGATATTAGGGTAACAAATGTATTTTTTTTTTCAACATTTTTGTGTATTCTGTGAAACCATTTAGTTAATGTAACGGCTATACTGTACAAATAACCGCCAAATCTTCACGTTTTGGTTTATGAAACTTTTTTATGCCCCTCTCAACTAAGGCCATCCTGCTGACTTTTCACAATGCAGATAGCTTTTTAAATAAAAAAAAGTTAACCGATGTAGTGTTGCTTTAATAGATTTGGACTTAAAATATGTAACGTTATAACGTTAGCAAATGCTAATTTTTTTTAAACGGCTGGTTACTATGGCAACAGCTGGGTTTCTGTTGCTAATGTGGGCCGTTAGTGGACCGTTAGTGGACCGTTAGTGGACTAGCAATCTAACCTCCCGCCCTCCTCAGCTCTGATTGCTGCTTAAATCCTAATTAGCTCCACCTGTGTCTTGTTATGCGCCATCCATGGTATTTATTCTTCTTCTGTTTCTATTTTCTGTAGTCATTTTCTTAGGCGTTATCAGGAGTTTAGTTCTTTCCTGACCGTTTCTGTAATTTTTTTTAGCATTTGTTTCTCACAGAGAGGCTGAACTATAGTTATTCCTTCTGTTACAGTTTTTATTCACTGTTTTTTGTTCTCTGGAACTACATATTGTGTTGTGAAAACCAGTTGGCTGCTTAACCTGTGAAGAGCAGGTAGGTATTTTCTTTCTTTAATACACACGCATACATACATACATACATACATACATACATACATACATACAGGGGCGTCAGCTGACCCAATACTATACAGGGGCACAATAGGGCACGCTGTGTGGAGGAAAAAAAATTTGGGGGCAATTATTTATTTTAAAAAAGCATGGGCACGGATGATTAATGCAAGCACATTTTTTGTAGCAGTTATTTATTATAAAGTATCATAAATAAATTGTAAAATCAGATTATTTTCTGCATTATTAAATATCTACCTAAACCAAACTGAATTCAGTTGGCCCACTTGTGAATTTAACTGTATAGCTCTAATCCACTACTGATGAAAGCACAATTTATCTTAATTATTCTTCAGCAAATGTGAACTTGAAAACTGAAAACTTGAAATGTGCAGAATTTCAATTCTAACTGAATTGGTAGTCTATAGCCCTATTTTAAGGAAAAAAAATGCAAGCATGAATTCTGTAGATTTCTTCATATGCCAGAGAGTCACACTTAAATTATTATTAATTAATCAAAAAATCAGTGCCCCAGGCACCGCAGATCCACAACGCGGCACATGCCCCTGTGAAAAGGGTATGCCTATGCATGTGTGCATATATAAAATCATCTTTGGTTTGTCATCCAGCTGCCTTTAACACATTGACGTTAAACTACTCTTGAGGTAGTGATGGTCAAGATGAAGCCTCAGGAGACATTTGAACTATTTGGGCAAGTTCCTCACAGTTCATGAAGCCTCATTTGAACATGGAGTGCAGAACTATAGTTGGTTAGTAATATATTTTGTAATTT